GAAAGAAGGCGTAACTTTTATTCTCGCTGTAGTATTGTTGCTGCCGCCGCTGCCATGTCGTGAAGACGCTGTGTGCTTCATTGTGAAAGCAAACTACTTTGTTTGGTCTTCCAAAAGAGGACACGACTACAAATCAGTGGTTAAGTTGTATTTACAACACTGTCCCAGAACACTTCAACCCAAATATTCAGATGCGTGCAGCACATTTTATGGAGGACTGTTTCCTGATCCTGGGAGAGAAGACTACAATGCCGGCAGTTCTGACTCACAGACTGTAAGTACGTTTTTTTTATATATAAAAAAGTTGCCACTGATGATTCAAACGTGAGTTTTGAGCAGTGTAGAGTAGCGCTTGTTTGTCATTTCTCCAATCACAAATGCAGACATGGTTTTATGTTTACCTCACACGCTTCAGGTATTCGGCCAATCAGAGCACACCTTGCTTTTCAGACCAATGAGTTTTTTTTAAATCGACCTGTTTCAGAAAGGCAGGGCATAGAGAAGAAACAATAATGTACAGTATGTGGAAAATAATGTGTTTTTTAACCTTAAACCGCATAAACACATTTCATTACACCAAATACACAAAATAATGTTATTTTTACCAACGTCATATGACCCCTTTAACTTGGTGGTCGAGAGTATCCTTGTCAACCTGACAGAGAGAAATCCAACAAAAATAATTTGCAGATGTTGTTTACAGCTGTATAAAGTCTCCACCTAACAAACTTACTCCAATCGTGCGGACTCTCCCGGCGTTGTAGTTCCCTGTTTCTCCTTCTGTCAAGATGAACAGCTTCAACTCGGTCTGACAGATGCTCAACTTCATTCATTGTGTATCACCACTTCAAATCGATATAACGAATATAATCGACATAATGTTGTTTACAGCTGTATAAAGTCTCCACCTAACAAACTTACTCCAATCGTGCGGACTCTCCCGGCGTTGTAGTTCCCTGTTTCTCCTTCTGTCAAGATGAACAGCTTCAACTCGGTCTGACAGATGCTCAACTTCATTCATTGTGTATCACCACTTCAAATCGATATAACGAATATAATCGACATACTGGATGTCACAAAACCCCACAAACAAACACGTTGTTAAGAGACTGAAAATATGTGTTTGAAAGTTTGCGCCCTCTCACTGTTGTTTTTCATACTGCAATTCAGTTGTCCTGTTAATCAGAATGGCTGAAATTCACCATACACACTCCAGATACATATTTATTATTATAGGTTTCAATCGTATATACAGGTAATTAAACTCTTTTCAAAACTTCTGCTTTGATCCTGTTATCTTTTTTTATTGCACCACGTCCATAAAATCCTTTGCGTGCTAAATTCCACTGATAATGGAATCCATATAATAATGTGCTTTATTGATGCTGCAGCGTTTAGACTAGTGCTTTTTATTATTTATCTTATATTTGTAATTTGTTATGCTGCACACCAACACCAATGTCATTTTATTGTAATAGTTTTATCAGTGTCTGAACATTTTGAAATGTTATCAGTAGTTTAGCAACATGAAAATGATACTTCAAAAGAACGTGATTATGAAATCTGTCACATGACACAGACCTCACAGTAACAATATAACACTCAAACATTCATTTTAATGTGCAGTTATTTCAGTGTAGGTTCATTAACCCTGTCACCAGGTTAAACTGGCAGGTGATTTAAAAATAATTCACAAACAAGAACACAATCAAATGTATCCATATATTTCCATTCACATTCGTGTACACGTACAGTATTATATTTTGAAGTTTCTTCTACATCTACTTCCTTTACAATGTTTTCACTTCTGTAAAATTTCCTTTTAGACGTCTTTGATGACATGTTGTATTGTCCATTTTTGTCCTGTGCATGTTTGCAAAATAAGATAATAAGAGGAATCCTCTCCTTGGCCAATCTCAAGACATCGAGTTGTGTTTCTGTTTCTTATTGCATTTCCCTAAAAAATCATTTTCACTGATTATAGCAATACTAAAAATATAATTGTATATGACAAAACGGAATAACCACACATTTAGCGGTTCTAAGCAATGTGCTGTGAAATATTCCATAAAATATATAAATAAAATACACAGCAGGACCTTACCTGAGAAAAGTCCCAGTATATACTCAATCCTTTCTCCTTGGCATTTTTACAGTCGTGTAATGCCGGTGTCTTTCCACTGCCAGGATCCATTAGACAACGATTGGAGTTATACTTGTGAGATTTGATGCCTCCAATGTAGATCTCTCCATTACGGTTATAATAACAATGCTGTGAAAGACATTTCTGTGAAATGCTGTGAAAGGCTTTTTGGACGTGGTCACTCAAAGCAAAGGTTTACACTCACATACAGTACCTGAGGGTCATAGTGATGACATTCATACAGAATAGGTACACTTCCAGGAACTTCACCTTGATCAATGCAGTATCTTTCTTGAATGTCATTCTTCAGCTGTCATCAGAAATAAACAGCGGCAGTTTAGGGATAACAAGTTTAGATGGACCAAATATCTACTAAACTGTATTTATCTCTACTTTGGTGGGGAATTGTATCAGAAGTCTTTGAGCAACTAGGAGCATCTTTGTTGCTTACCGCACCATAACTAATAATGTCTTCCCAGCCGTCTAGGAGAGGATATACATTTTCCAGATACCATTTGAAGGGCTTACATTTGAGTTTCTCTCGTAACTGTTTTCTTTCAGTCACATCACCAAAATCAATTCCATGATTCTGGAGAAAAAACAGTTCATTTATCAACCAGGTCCAGGCTGATATGAGAATCAATGACAGTAATCGTTATACACAAGACTGCTAATATTCAGCTTCAGCTAAACTTAAAACAATGTTTGCTATTACTGTTACCTTTAGAGGGAGATTCCAGGCAATATTCACATTTGATTTATATTCATCCAGCCAGATTTCGGCCACTCTCAGGGCGTTTCGAATCATGGGCCTGCTGAGATCTAGTGAATAGGGCTTATGTGCTCTTTCAATGTGTGCGATCTTTGAACACGGCACCACTTCAATACTCCCACCACAGAGCCAGACCTGATTTATACATATCAAATGCTGATCAAAATCATCGTAGACTATATTACATACATTCTTTTGGCGCCACAATGTGTAGTAATGACTTACACGTATTGCAAGTTCAACATTTTCACCCCCGTAAATTGTCATTCCTTCATCCAAAACTCCAATTTCTCCCAGGAATTGACGATCAGCGACAAAAATACCCATGATTGAGGGACTCCTAACAATACAGAAAAATTAAACTACATATATGTTCTATTTCAATCAAATCATAAACGGCAAACTGTAGCTTATGATATAGCCTATATATCAAATAAAGTATTATGTGGCAGTTACAGTAGTTCGGTTCCCAGCATGATGACAAATTACTCATTATGGGTGAGTTCAACTGTTGAAGATCGAAATAAGCATTCATTTTTATAAATGTTGCATTGTTAATTCTACCAATTATTATTTTTAAAACACTGATTTATTTAGAAATGAAATAATCAACTGTCCTAATAAACGAGCCCGGTCTCATGAAAATGCGTATAAATAGTATGTCAATTAAAAACGAAAACTCGTGGTATTGATACGCAAAAATGGACTTTGGCGTGCATATAATACGCAGTTCTCGCGTGCATATGATACGAAATTTGTTGACGTACATATGATACGCAGTTTTCAAGTACATATGATACGCATCTACCCCACAACCCTAAACCTACCCATCGCGTAGCATATACACGCACCTGAGGGTCATAGTGATGACATTCATACAGAATAGGTACACTTCCAGGAACTTCACCTTGATCAATGCAGTATCTTTCTTGAATGTCATTCTTCAGCTGTCATCAGAAATAAACAGCGGCAGTTTAGGGATAACAAGTTTAGATGGACCAAATATCTACTAAACTGTATTTATCTCTACTTTGGTGGGGAATTGTATCAGAAGTCTTTGAGCAACTAGGAGCATCTTTGTTGCTTACCGCACCATAACTAATAATGTCTTCCCAGCCGTCTAGGAGAGGATATACATTTTCCAGATACCATTTGAAGGGCTTACATTTGAGTTTCTCTCGTAACTGTTTTCTTTCAGTCACATCACCAAAATCAATTCCATGATTCTGGAGAAAAAACAGTTCATTTATCAACCAGGTCCAGGCTGATATGAGAATCAATGACAGTAATCGTTATACACAAGACTGCTAATATTCAGCTTCAGCTAAACTTAAAACAATGTTTGCTATTACTGTTACCTTTAGAGGGAGATTCCAGGCAATATTCACATTTGATTTATATTCATCCAGCCAGATTTCGGCCACTCTCAGGGCGTTTCGAATCATGGGCCTGCTGAGATCTAGTGAATAGGGCTTATGTGCTCTTTCAATGTGTGCGATCTTTGAACACGGCACCACTTCAATACTCCCACCACAGAGCCAGACCTGATTTATACATATCAAATGCTGATCAAAATCATCGTAGACTATATTACATACATTCTTTTGGCGCCACAATGTGTAGTAATGACTTACACGTATTGCAAGTTCAACATTTTCACCCCCGTAAATTGTCATTCCTTCATCCAAAACTCCAATTTCTCCCAGGAATTGACGATCAGCGACAAAAATACCCATGATTGAGGGACTCCTAACAATACAGAAAAATTAAACTACATATATGTTCTATTTCAATCAAATCATAAACGGCAATCTGTAGCTTATGATATAGCCTATATATCAAATAAAGTATTATGTGGCAGTTACAGTAGTTCGGTTCCCAGCATGATGACAAATTACTCATTATGGGTGAGTTTAACTGTTGAAGATCGAAATAAGCATTCATTTTTATAAATGTTGCATTGTTAATTCTACCAATTATTATTTTTAAAACACTGATTTATTTAGAAATGAAATAATCAACTGTCCTAATAAACGAGCCCGGTCTCATGAAAATGCGTATAAATAGTATGTCAATTAAAAACGAAAACTCGTGGTATTGATACGCAAAAATGGACTTTGGCGTGCATATAATACGCAGTTCTCGCGTGCATATGATACGAAATTTCAGCTACTTCCTTTACTATATTTTCACTTCTGTGAACTTTCCTTTTAAAAGTCTTTGATAACATGTTGTATTGTCCATTTTTGTCCTGTGCATGTTTGCAAAATAAGATAATAAGAGGAATCCTCTCCTTGGCCAATCTCAAGACATCGAGTTGTGTTTCTGTTTCTTATTGCATTTCCCTAAAAAATCATTTTCACTGATTATAGCAATACTAAAAATATAATTGTATATGACAAAACGGAATAACCACACATTTAGCGGTTCTAAGCAATGTGCTGTGAAATATTCCATAAAATATATAAATAAAATACACAGCAGGACCTTACCTGAGAAAAGTCCCAGTATATACTCAATCCTTTCTCCTTGGCATTTTTACAGTCATGCAACGCTGGTGTATTTCCACTACCAGGATCCATTAGACAACGGTTAGAGTTATACGTGTGGGATTTGATGCCTCCAATGTAGACCTCTCCATTACGGTTGTAATAACAATGCTGTGAGAGACAGTCAAATGAAGAGTGCTTTTTGGACGTGGTTACTCAAAGTAAAGGTTTACACTCACATACAGTACCTGAGGGTCATAGTGATGACATTCATACAGAATAGGTACACTTCCAGGAACTTCACCTTGATCAATGCAGTATCTTTCTTGAATGTCATTCTTCAGCTGTCATCAGAAATAAACAGCGGCAGTTTAGGGATAACAAGTTTAGATGGACCAAATATCTACTAAACTGTATTTATCTCTACTTTGGTGGGGAATTGTATCAGAAGTCTTTGAGCAACTAGGAGCATCTTTGTTGCTTACCGCACCATAACTAATAATGTCTTCCCAGCCGTCTAGGAGAGGATATACATTTTCCAGATACCATTTGAAGGGCTTACATTTGAGTTTCTCTCGTAACTGTTTTCTTTCAGTCACATCACCAAAATCAATTCCATGATTCTGGAGAAAAAACAGTTCATTTATCAACCAGGTCCAGGCTGATATGAGAATCAATGACAGTAATCGTTATACACAAGACTGCTAATATTCAGCTTCAGCTAAACTTAAAACAATGTTTGCTATTACTGTTACCTTTAGAGGGAGATTCCAGGCAATATTCACATTTGATTTATATTCATCCAGCCAGATTTCGGCCACTCTCAGGGCGTTTCGAATCATGGGCCTGCTGAGATCTAGTGAATAGGGCTTATGTGCTCTTTCAATGTGTGCGATCTTTGAACACGGCACCACTTCAATACTCCCACCACAGAGCCAGACCTGATTTATACATATCAAATGCTGATCAAAATCATCGTAGACTATATTACATACATTCTTTTGGCGCCACAATGTGTAGTAATGACTTACACGTATTGCAAGTTCAACATTTTCACCCCCGTAAATTGTCATTCCTTCATCCAAAACTCCAATTTCTCCCAGGAATTGACGATCAGCGACAAAAATACCCATGATTGAGGGACTCCTAACAATACAGAAAAATTAAACTACATATATGTTCTATTTCAATCAAATCATAAACGGCAAACTGTAGCTTATGATATAGCCTATATATCAAATAAAGTATTATGTGGCAGTTACAGTAGTTCGGTTCCCAGCATGATGACAAATTACTCATTATGGGTGAGTTCAACTGTTGAAGATCGAAATAAGCATTCATTTTTATAAATGTTGCATTGTTAATTCTACCAATTATTATTTTTAAAACACTGATTTATTTAGAAATGAAATAATCAACTGTCCTAATAAACGAGCCCGGTCTCATGAAAATGCGTATAAATAGTATGTCAATTAAAAACGAAAACTCGTGGTATTGATACGCAAAAATGGACTTTGGCGTGCATATAATACGCAGTTCTCGCGTGCATATGATACGAAATTTGTTGACGTACATATGATACGCAGTTTTCAAGTACATATGATACGCATCTACCCCACAACCCTAAACCTACCCATCGCGTAGCATATACACGCCAAAGTCCATTTTTGCGTATCAATACCACGAGTTTTCGTTTTTATTTGGCGTACTATTTTACGCACTTTCATGAGATCGGGTTGAATAAACATGAAATTGTTCACTTAACTAAGTAGTTCAAAAACACAGATTCATTCAGGAACCAAATAAGCAAAGGTCTTTATAAATGATGCATCATTCAATCATGTTTCATTGTTCGTTCATTTATTAACGGCTTTGTGTTGGCCAGAGATGTGTTACGGTTGATTGTGTTTTGACTTTGTTCAGAATCATTTTTTTTTGCATTTTATTTTTTTTAAATGTATGTGTTACATTCCAGGGCCATTTAAAATTAACAATAGAGAGTGAAGGTGATTAAAAATTGTGAAAAATGTGCACCACTTACTTCCCCGGTTTGGATGGGTTGTAGTTTTTGTACCATTCTGGCCGGAAGGACTCATACATGCACCAGAGGTTCCAGTCAAATGCATGAGCAGCAGGAATATACTCAACAACCTCCAGTGTGTCAAAAAGCACTTTGTCGAACACCGGTGACAGCACTACTGTCCTGTCTGCTTTGATTCTTGAAAGTAGTGGCTCTGCCCTAGAACAATACGGCAGTCAAATGTATATTTAGGAAAGATATTAAGTCCCTCTTATTATCATACTCAGACTGTGGTAGTATTTACCATTCCTTATGAACTTCAATGTGTGCATCCAGAATGGCTACCACCTGACCTGTGGCCGCTTCCCAGCCTGAGATTCGTGCCTTTGCAAGACCCATCTGCCTTTTGTGTCTCACTTTCTTGATTAAGCCAGGCTTGTCTTTATTAAATAGATCAATATATTCATCTAGAGCCAATTGCAGATCCTCTGTCAAGAAATTAACGATATGTAATAGAATAAATAGTTATATTAAACAATTCATATTTCGAGTATAACAACTTATATTTAATAAAATAATTTTATGAATTAATTCATGCACACTGTAAATATTTTTATTAACGAGTACTTTTGTCTTATGAATCTTTCTATATTCCCATTATGTAATTTTTTTTCTTTATATATAAAGAAAAATATCAGATTGATGTTGGACACATGAAAAACTGTTTAGAAAAACAAACAGTTCAAAATCTGAAAGTCTAATATTTAAAAAAGAAAATATCTAGGGCTAAACTAACCATTTGAGCTATAGTCGTCTACCAGGATGATCTCCTTTAGCAGATGAGCAGGAGTTTTGTCAGTGATGCTATGGATTGCCCTTTTAATGACTGATGGAGCCTCATTCAAATAGATCAGAATCACACTAATTGTTGGCAGGTTCTTAGGGTAGTTATTCACAGTACATCTGCATATATATATATATACACACACACACACACACACACACATATACATACATACAGTATATCAAAGGAGGAATAAATGACATACAGTGGGTACGGAAATTTTTCACTCTTGGTTATATTGCAGCCATTTGCTAAAATCATTTAAGTTAATTTTTTTTCCTCATTAATGTACACACAGCACCCTATATTGACAGAAAAACACAGAATTGTTGACATTTTTGCAGATTTATTAAAAAAGAAAAACTGAAATATCACATGGTCCTAAGTATTCAGACCCTTTGCTGTGACACTCATATATTTAACTCGGGTGCTGTCCATTTCTTCTGATCATCCTTGAGATATATATATATATATACACACACACACACACATATACATACATACAGTATATCAAAGGAGGAATAAATGACATACTGTATATTAAGGCGAGACACTGCAGGTGAATAGGGTAAAAAAAATATATATAGTTATCGCCTTACCCAGCTGATTGATTACATTGATAATTGCAAACACTTTTTGCATTACTAAATGTTAGTTTTTCTAAAACGTTTTCTAAAATGTTAGGTTTAGATATGCAAACGAGTCATTATTTAATGAAATATGCGCTAATTTGCATACATTTCTAGTACAAAAATCTAAACACTGGATGATGTTAGTTTCAAAAAAAAGTGAAACTAGACAACACGTGAGGACCAGCAGAGGTCTGACTGGACACAGGATCCACTGCCTCTTGTTTAATAGCTGACTGTTTTGGCGGCCTTGGTCTCTCCGAGCTCAGCATCCAGGTAGCGGCAACGGCGATGGCGACGCAAGGTTTCAATGGCCTTCTGCTCAATGGAGGAAGGTGTAATGCCCAAATCCTCCAGTCCTGGGAGGTCAGGGTACTTCATGTCCGTTGTGTGGAACTATAAATGAGGGTTTCAACCTTATTTGTTACATTCTTGATGATATACTAAATGTATAATTTTGTAATGCTCTGAAACACATACCCGGTCCACTTTATCACAGGTCGTCCAGGGCTCGAAAGGGTTCATCTCAAAAAATCTTGCGATGAGGCTAAAACCAGAGAACACAAAGGGAATATATGTGGCTGCCAAAGTAGGTAAACTTCTGTAAATTGTCAGGTTAAAGGTGAAGGTTGTATGATTTTTATCAAACTACATTCTCTTAATCCATGGCATAAAGTCATGGCATTAAATGTTGCATTCACTGCAAAAAAATTAAATATCTTCCTCAGAATTTCTTGTTTTGTTTCCCAATACAAATATCTAAACATCCTTAAATCAAGATAAATTTACTTCAGACACAAACTAAACATATGAAGTCTTGTTTTCTGAAGAATTGAACAAAGTTAACCGAGTTTATGCTTAAAACAAGAACAAACATTTGTCAATGGGGTATAAAACCCTTTGAATTTAGTTGATTTTCCAACTTGGCAGGTATGTGTTCTAGTTTTAAGCATGAACTCACTTCATTTTTATACATTTCTAATAAAACAAGACTTCTTATTTTATGTAATTTCACTTCTTAAGTAAATGTTGTGTGATCAGAAGGTACAGTAATAGATATAATTCCATATTCTAGTGGTTGTATTCAAGCCATGCACTGTAAGTCGCTTTGGATAAAAGCGTCTGCTAAATGCATAAATTATTTAATTATTTATTATTATAAGCATAACATTTGTATTCACAAAAGGCATTCCCATGACTTTTCCTTGCCTGAAAAACCCAATTTTAAAAATGAATGCGTGTTTGTGAGTCAGTAAGGGTTCTGTTATGGTGAAAATCTTTATTTCTGATCTCTATTTCGGTCTAGTTTTCATTTTGCAGCTCCTTTGGCCTACAGGGCCATTCAGAGTCCATAGTGTACTGGAACGTTCATGCCTTTCTGCTTTAATGTCCCCTGTGGCAGCCTCCATTGCCCATGAGAACTGCATTTTTTCCCTCTCTGTCTATCAGAGGAGCGGAAGTGTTGCCTTTTCGTCCATTATGCATTCTGGCACCCAGTCAGTCATAAAGCGGGCACAACACCCCACTCCAATCGCTCCTCAAGCCCACACACCCATCTCACCCCGTCTCTCAATCACCTGCGACAATAACACGTCTTAATCTTCTCTCCACTGCATGGAGCTCACGTGGATTTATGGTAATTTAAGCGTAATACGCACGTTGAAGGGCTATTGAAAATCTTCCAAACTTATTAAAGTGCTCATCATTTTCCAGGGAACCTTAAAGATATTAGCCTTGTGCTGTGTTAGCAGAATCCATATTTCAAACAAACAAGAGATAATGAACTGTGAGCATCATAATCATGTACACGTCCCAACTGGCCTACAATGGGATTAAACGCACAACATGACAGAGAACAAATTCAATATTGTTCTTCTGGTTAATCTAATGAGCCGGTGGATATGTTCAGAATAGGGCGCTACCATAATATTTCTGATTTATATAGCATGCATAATGTGCACAACACGTTCTGGGATGCATAGAATGACCATGACCTCCTACATCAGCCAAAATGTGTACAACAGAGCACGATGCACAGAATAATGTATCCCATAATGCAAAGCTTGACTTTCCATTACAAGTGCGATAAATGAACCAGAAATAATTACAATTGTGATCCTAGCATCTCGCCAAGGAGAGCAAGGCTATTCTGTGTGACTTCAGAAGACTTGGAATATGGCCAAAAAAATGGTATGATAAAAAAAAAAATTTTTTAAATAAGAAACATTGAATGTAGCAACACAAAACAAAACTCTTGAATTAAATAATATATTGAATATCATGACCTTCACCTTAGAATGACATTAGCAAACAAAGTCATGTGATCAATACTAATTTCTACTGAATATGTAAATCTCCTATAACTTAGCATACAAGACCACAAGTAATATTAAAGGCACTGAATATTAAATATTGTGTCTACGTTGTTCACAAAACGTTTAACATTTTAAAAAAATCAGATCTGTCCCATCTGTAATTTTTTTCTATGTCGGGCAAATGTAAGAAAATGCATTGAACTCGGAAGAGGAAAAAAAACGTGCAAAAGCTATAGGTTGAATATCTTTATTTATGTACAGAAAAGTGAAACTAGACAACACGTGAGGACCAGCAGAGGTCTGACTGGACACAGGATCCACTGCCTCTTGTTTAATAGCTGACTGTTTTGGCGGCCTTGGTCTCTCCGAGCTCAGCATCCAGGTAGCGGCAACGGCGATGGCGACGCAAGGTTTCAATGGCCTTCTGCTCAATGGAGGAAGGTGTAATGCCCAAATCCTCCAGTCCTGGGAGGTCAGGGTACTTCATGTCCGTTGTGTGGAACTATAAATGAGGGTTTCAACCTTATTTGTTACATTCTTGATGATATACTAAATGTATAATTTTGTAATGCTCTGAAACACATACCCGGTCCACTTTATCACAGGTCGTCCAGGGCTCGAAAGGGTTCATCTCAAAAAATCTTGCGATGAGGCTAAAACCAGAGAACACAAAGGGAATATATGTGGCTGCCAAAGTAGGTAAACTTCTGTAAATTGTCAGGTTAAAGGTGAAGGTTGTATGATTTTTATCAAACTACATTCTCTTAATCCATGGCATAAAGTCATGGCATTAAATGTTGCATTCACTGCAAAAAAATTAAATATCTTCCTCAGAATTTCTTGTTTTGTTTCCCAATACAAATATCTAAACATCCTTAAATCAAGATAAATTTACTTCAGACACAAACTAAACATATGAAGTCTTGTTTTCTGAAGAATTGAACAAAGTTAACCGAGTTTATGCTTAAAACAAGAACAAACATTTGTCAATGGGGTATAAAACCCTTTGAATTTAGTTGATTTTCCAACTTGGCAGGTATGTGTTCTAGTTTTAAGCATGAACTCACTTCATTTTTATACATTTCTAATAAAACAAGACTTCTTATTTTATGTAATTTCGCTTCTTAAGTAAATGTTGTGTGATCAGAAGGTACAGTAAAAGATATAATTCCATATTCTAGTGGTTGTATTCAAGCCATTTTTATGGTAAATTAAATTAAGTAATGGAGATATGTTGTAAGTTGTACTTTCAAACTCTTAAGTGTTGCTAACACAAGACATTTACATTTAGAGGCCATATTAAAGTATATTATATAGTTCCAGTTTATTCCTTAAATTTTCTTTACTTGGGCTTAAAACCTCTTATAATTTACCTTCATAAAACCTGCATACTTCACCTTTAAGATAAGTAATGTAAATTGATTTTTTAGGAAATGCTTACTGATAGAGAGGGCGAGGTATGGGGTAAGCCAAATATGGCCTGTGGGACAGAGCATATATGTACTCCACCAAGTCATGCAGTAGATACCGGTTGGGCCTGTGGAGCAAGAGATTCATCTTGTTTCAGACACAAGAAACCATAGATTGAAAAGTGTGAATTTTCCAAAAATAGAAGACAGTGAAGGAGAAATTGGACCGGTTCTTACCCAACTAAAGCATATGTTTTCCCATTAGCATCGGGGTCTTTGATGGCATTAACGATGGCTTTGGCCACATCCACCACCTTTAAAAAGCTAAATATTGCATCTTTAATCTAAAATAATCAGAGACCATGACCATGAATATTTACATAAGATCTTGTGTTCAGACTGGTTGATACTCACATGAACAGGCTGTTTGAAGGTCTTCTTGCCAATTGCAATAAGAGGAACAGCTTTACCAAACCAACGCATGTCTAAACAACAACAATTACAGGAAATATCAATTTAACAAACGGGTGAACCGTCCCTTTAATACAGACCACATTCTACTTCTGTCATCACAAAACACATACAATAACAAAGCACATTTTTAATAGTTACAATCAGTAACTGATTTCAGGACATAATCAGACACCTACTAGCAAAGTGGTTCAAGAATCTATCCTCTCTTCCGAAGCACTCAGAGGGTTTCATAATGATGGCATCAGGGAACTCTTCCCACACCACTGCCTCACCTACAGCCTGCAAGAGTTAAACACATGACCAGTTATGACACAACAACTGTGCAATTATCCACTTTACCTTTGTAACTGCATTATTATTGACTCTACCTACATCATCGGCTATTGACACACTCATGGTTTTAATTAAGCATATTACCACATTATTAAACCCTTACCTTATTCCTTAGGTACTTGGAAGGGCTGCGGATATCTGCATTAAGGTGGGACATATGTATGAACTTTTTGATTCCGGCTTCACGAGCTGCCCTTGCGATCTGCTGGGGCATGGAGACGAAGACATCTTCAAACTTGTAGTTCCTTTAAAAGGGGAAAAAAGACAGCATGTTTTATGGAAATATAATCTATTTGAATACACCTACAAACCACCTTGTGGTATCCAAGTTAGAATTTTGTTTAGTTTAGGAAGAATTTTGTTCATTAGACAGGTTGAGGATCATTTGAGTTACAGTAAAGCTCTGATGTTTTGGCACAGCAATTTGAAACAAAATCAAAACTGAAATTACAAAATTACTTAAGCGTGATTATCAAATTGCAAAGGTTGCTGTTTAATTAAATAAATATATGTGCTGCATGTGTTCGAGTGAAGCATGGCAGTGTGTTCCTACACATGAACAGCTCATCAATAAAAGTTTAATGTTTGAAAATTAAGAAATTAAGACAGCCATAAAATGATAAAATAAAGTACAATTATTATAATAATAGATTTTATTAAATACTCGATTGTTTTTGTTTACAGTGAATTACTACAATAGTAATATTTCTTGTTTTGTTTTTAGTAATTTTTACATTTTATTTAGTAATATTTATATTATTATCATCATTATTATTACTATATAGCCACATTGATATATATTCACAAAACTCTGGCCAAATCATTCAGCCCTACAAACAAGCACAGTAAACATGGAATTCTTTTAATTTTATTTTTAAAATCCCTACTTTCTAGTACCTGGTCTCCCACTCTCTTCCCACAAGGTTGATCACCACGTTGGAGTGAGAAATTGCTCTTTTGATCGACTCCTTATCCCTTGCATCCCATTCCTGTAAAAGCATCCTAACGCATTTTATTAGTTTAGGCCACTTTCATTAGAGAGGAAACTCTTCCTCTGGATATAACACAAATGGTGGTGAGTGCATTTACCATAAAGATGATCTGGCTCAGATCACCCATAGGTCTGAGGTACATGAGATCGTACTGGTCACATCGGTGAGGAATCACGATCTGGGAGCCCATACGTCCTAAAACAAGTCAAGTCAAGTCATCTTTATTTATATAGCGCTTTTAACAATACAGATTGTGTCAAAGCAACTGAACAGCATTAATTAGGAAAATAGTGTGTCAATAATGCAAAATGACAATAGTAAACACTCATTTTTCAGTTAAAGACAGTTCATCATTGAATTCAGTGATGTCAACATCCAGCTCAGTTTAAATAATATCTTTGCAATCATGTCAACGATATCGCTGGAAATGAAGTGTCCCCAACTAAGCAAGCCAGAGGCGACAGCGGCAAGGAACCAAAACTCCATCGGTGACAGAATGGAGAAAAAACCTTGAGAGAAACCAGGCTCAGTCGGGGGGCCAAACCCGTACAACTTTTCAAACCAATGAAACAGCAATGGATGGCTTGTAAGTGAATGAGGCTCATTTTGGTTTTTACATTGAATAATATCATGACTCACCGAGTCGGCTGACAACATATCTCCCCAGGAAGCCAGTGGCTCCGAACACTGTCGCAGCTACTCCACTGGAGGATGAGCGGCCTCCTTTTCCTCTGGGCACCACGGCATGATGGATCTTTCTGTGCTGAACGGTCACAGGACCAGCCGCCAGCAACACTGGAGAGCAGGTGCCTGACGACAGAAGAAATAAAAACAAAATATGTCTATTAAAATAATTCAAGTACACTGACAAAACTGTATCTTAACCCTCTAAAGCCTGCTGTATAATATTTGACACATGAATTTCTAAGGCCTCTAAATGATCAACAGTCGAAACTTAGCTGGAAAATCTGTTCTACATGCCTTCTACAACAATGACTTCAATATGATATGAAAAGTTTTTTTTTTTTAGATTTTCTTTTACAAAAAGTATTTAATAAAAAAAAAAATCTGGCTCATTATTCAGGCTTTACAGGGTTAATAGGGCAGTGCGAGTTTCAGAATAACAATACTTAGCATAACCTTATTACATGATAAAGGTTGCAGAACGTATAAATGAATTAGAAAATAATAAAAGAAGCGTTCTGGGTGCGCTTGTGATGTCTATAAATTCTCTCTAGGTATGTTTTGAGACAGTCTCCCGATTATGCTACACCGCACAGAGCACACAATTACTGCATTAGGTTGAAAATAAATAAAAAAGTAAAATCTTACAGTAAAAACGCCCGTGTTTATAGTTTTAAATGACATAGTAGCGTATTTCTGACAATAGTAATATATTGCAACTGTACTAGCGCACAAATGAGGCCTGATGTCTTCAGCCGGGGTCACAAAACACAAGACAACGACTTTCTTTAAACATCATCTAATCGCTATATTATTCGTTCTGTTAACAGCCTCAACCATAACAGTGTTTATATACAGTCCCACTGTGTGCATGGTGAACTCACCTGAGAGCTTGGGAAGGACACCCGCAGGACGGCCAATCAGAGTGACAGCCGGCATGCCTCTGGCCGTCAGCACGGAGAACGGAAGCTGGGGAGGGTCAAACTCAAACCGAAAAACGCCAACGCTGAATTTTATGGACGCTACGGTAAGAACTTATAGAAAGATATTTTTTTTCTTGTATAATTTGAAGTACGTCGAAGTAGCAAAAACTAAGCTATAAATATATTATAAAAACAAAACAGAAAGCGTCGGGTTCGGACGATAGCCTATATAAAGGATTTTCCCCACTCTTTGCACTAACATTACGAGTTGTTTACATCAGAGGTAACGTTAAACTATCAAATCAACATATAAAATATGTAAAAGTTCTTTTTTTCTACTTATTTTATTGTTTAAATGCAGTATATCCGCTACACAGCAGAAAAACACAAGTTATTATCCAACTTTTCCAAAATACTTTAAAAAATCGCTATAGTTTTAGTAGCTACATTATAATAACATCGAGTTTTAATATTAATGTAGTAATGAATAAAAATCCCTTTGATAAACATATAAAGTACATTTTGGGCTAAATAAATTATATTGAATAAATAAAAACCAAGCTCAAACCAAGTTTTGCATTAAAAAAAATCACATTCAGTACGGTAGGACTATTACATCTTTATTGTCATAGGTATGACATTTTTCAGGAGACAATTTAAAATATTTAATTATAATACTGAAAGGCACTACTAAGGCTTTCTTCTAAAATCCCATAAACTAAATTGTCAAGAATCAACAAAGGAGAGAGATAGCACATGGTAGTAAAAATCTCTTTTTCTATTATAACAGATAAACAATATAAGAACAAGTAAAACCTTGTCTAATGTTTGCATGACTTGGTGACATCCACACAGGGTGCATGGTATTTACCTTAAGAACTCTATATACAGGAAAATATACTATTACAATCCATAAAATGTTGTATTTTAATTTTGTATAAACATACAATGATCCACTAATTTTACTTTAAATGTCAACATTCTTGACCTTCCCTCTAAATCTAAATCATAATAATCATAACCATCATCATCAACAGCATTGCCATCGTTATCAGTCATCATCAATTCAATCACACAAGTATTGTGCACATTTGGATGATCTAGTGTGCTTTCCGTCAGATTTAGTCTGAGGATGTGTTTCTTTAGAACAAAAATGTATGTGATAAATCTCTTTGGCTCAGTAATTACTGCACGACAGCTTACTAACTCATAGAAACGATAAAAAACCCTGGCAAACAGCAACAAAACATACAAACACCGTTAATTCATGCAGTAATATTGCACAATAAAGCAGCTTTGGAACTCAAGTTTATCTTGAGCTCTATTAATGACATTGCTAAAAGCTTTGATGTTTTGAAACAAAAAATGAAAAAGCACACTAGACCCAATAATCATGATGCTCAGCAAAATATGCCAGTGTTACAAACAATCTCATAGTAATAATCCTTTCAATATACATCACAAGCACCAAATGATTCACTTTACTTAGAAATCAATAAATCATTTGAATAGTCAAAACACAGACTACCGCTCTTTGACCACTAATCTAATTCCTCTAGACTGGAGAGTGAAGATGTGGTCACACTAGACGATATATAGAGGCTCTATTTATTTATTTTATTTTATGTTCTTTTTTATTTTATTTTAGTTTGTGAAAAACAGAAGCCTTACAAGCATCATATCCTCTTGCCAAAATTAGTCACAAATTAATTTTGGATGCTCAAACTCTAGTGTGACCGCAACTTTACAGACCATGAGTTAGAAATAAATAATGTGTTTGACGTTTTGTACTTTTTGCCATACAACAAGTCAAACTGTCTAAGCCGCACAATAGGTAAGTCCAGACCAAGCGGCTGAAGTATAAACCATACGCTATAAAAACATTACTCGTTCTTTTCTTTAGGGTGTTATACAAGAGGAGGGAGAAACTGAGGCTCCTGTCCTTCTGAAGAATCAGTGCTTGAGCCTGTCTGAGGTTTGATGATGATCTGAACGGACCGCTCTCCACTTGAGTCTGACGTGCTGTCTTTGCTCACACTTTTGCCTGTATCTTCACTCTTTTCTTCATCGGCTGATGCTCCTATAGGACGCAGACGCTCTTCTGATGCCATCTTGCCTCCTTTGCTTGAAGTGTCACTGACCCTCTTAAGTTTGTCGTCAGAACCAGATTTATCAGCTATAGAAAGATAAAAGATATCAATTATATTATGCATAGTAAATTAATAAAAATAATTAATGTAATTATGTTACATTAAATTAAATATTAATATATATTTTAAATATATTATTATAATTATAACATTTTATGTAATTTTATTTCAGAATTATTCATTAAAAATCCATTAATTCAAGACATTCACACATTTTTCAGCATGTCCAAACATGTTTAGAGCCCTTGTATATCATTACCAATAGTTATAAGCAATCATTATTTTACAAGAACATATTCTGACCCTTGCCTGTCCTGTTTAAAGTCGCTTTGCGGTAAGTGAATTCATAATTGTTGTCAATGTCTTTCCGGATAGGCCGAGGTTTAGGATGGAGCTTGTTGAGACGTCCCTCTGTGATCCATTCATGCTGCAACCCTTCATCAGGTGTCATGCGTTTTGTTGGATCCCACCTACAAGAACCCAATGATACAGGTTGAAAAAAATCTGTTTATGTGTGTTATGGTGATAATAAATATGAAATCAAATCATTACTTTACTATACATACACAAGGCAATGTCGAATGAAGTCAAGAAATTGAGGATCATTGGTCTTCAACACACTGGCAAGATCTTTTGAGTTGGGTCGACGTTTCTTCCCTTTGCTGTTGGTGATATTCCTTGGGTTACCTTTGGAATCTGATTGGAACATTTTAATATTAAGACTTAAGCATTAACAAAGCCATTTTTAATAACATTTTATTTGGATAACACTTTACAAGGTTTTGTTAATTAATGCACTAACTAAAATGAACTAATAATGACTAATTAATTTGTTATAGTATTTATTCATCTTTGTTAACGTTATTTAATAAAAAAATACAACCCCTCATTAGTTTATGTTTATGTCAGCTCATGACCATTAAATAATATTAACTTTTGATTTTAAGAATGTACAAGTAAATGTTGAAACATTTACGATTGATAAATGCTTTAGAATTACTTTTCATTGTTAGTTCATGGTAACTAATGTAGTTAACTAATGTCAACAAATGGAATCTTGTCGTAAAGTGTTACCTTTATTGGTAAGCAATCATGTACTTAGTCATCTTACCAAAAAATAACCTCCGTCTTGATGCCGTTTGAACAAAGTCATTTGGAGGAAGTCCCATAATCTGCAAAATCAAAAATGATTGTGTTCAGCAACCAATGCATTTCAAATAACTACAAAAGAATCACAAAGTTATTTAAACAACTCTCATCCACAGAATGCAAAGCCTCTTTCAAAGACTTTGAAGACTCTTTACTATGCTTTTTTCATGCAATAAGAATAAACTATGAGTGAAGGTTTTATGACACTTTTATGCTGTTTTTGCATCCATTTTAAAGCGTTGAAGCTCCAGTCCCCATTAGTTGTAACTGCATGGTTTCACAGAATAAAGAAAGTCATAATGTGAGCTAATTCTTTGATTGCTAATACAGTCTCTCACCTCCATGATACAGGCAATCTGCTCCACTTCACTCTCTCCTGGGAAGAGGGGATAGCCAGTGTACAGCTCTGCTAAAATGCAGCCCAGACTCCACATGTCTATTGCCATGCTGTACGGATGGCCCAGAATCACCTCTGGTGAGCGGTAGAAGCGGCTCTGAATGTAAGTGTACACTGTAGATGAGAATACAAGTGGTCTATTAGAGCCACATGAATTTAACAATGACACTTTAACAGTATGAATTAGCTTAATGGATCAAATAGCACTAAATCATTGTTTCTCAATTGCCGGGTCACATGTTTGTTTTAATCTAGGGTCAAACGATTCTAAATGCAAATGATAAAATGATTTTAAAAATCCTGCATAGTTATGACAGCAAAAAACACTTCCCAAATCTATGCCAATGGCTTCTAATCGACTGATTGCAGATTTTGCTATGTATTGCTCCATATGGTGTAAATCACTGTGCTCATTACACAGGGGTTTGATGCTTACCTCTCTGTTGCTCATAGCAGCTTGATCCAAAGTCGACAACCTTAATGTTTCCTTGTCCCCTCTGGGACAGGAGAATATTCTCCTATTAAGACAAAAATAAAGGATTACAGGTGTTTTGTCACAATGGTCATTGCACTGGTGAATGCTCTTATATTTGAATTGAAAACAGCTAAAGGAGCTATTCAGCTGAACGTCCAAGTTGCTCTTTTCCAAACGTTAAAAGTGATTTGTGACCACCGCTATCCCTTGTCTCCATCTTTCAGAAATCATACTAATATGCTGATTTGGTGCTCAAGAAACATTTCTTATAAAAATTAAAAACAGTTGTGCTGCTTAATATTATTGTAGAAACAGTGATACGTTTTTTTTCAGGACTTGGATTTCTTTGATGAATAGAAATTCCAAAAGAACAGCATTTTTTTGTAACATTATAAATGCATTCACTGTCGCTTTTAATCATTTTTTAATGCATCTTTAATGAATAAAAGTATTCATTTTGTTAAAAAAATAAATCAGACCCCACCTTACCTCAAACATTTGAACGGCAGTATATTTACTATATATAGTGCATCACATTTTAATTATTTAGGGGTAAAATGTCCTTAATTTACATTAAAATAATGTTGTAATAGTCCTAAAACATCATTTAAAAAATAAAATAAAAAATGATTTAGCTTTTCATTTTGGGGTGATTCACACTTTAACAGACTTCAGTTTACCGGTTTAAGGTCACAGTGGATGATCTTCTCTTTGTGCAGCATCTGGAGGCACTTGAGCAGTGCGTGAGCAAAACGCCGAATCAACCCCAGACTGAAGCCCTGGAAGTTGTTCTTCTTAATAAGCTCATAGAGGTTCACTCTGTATGGAGACAAGTGGTACAATTAACATGTAGTTATCTGTGACAATGTTACAGATTGATGTTAATGGTTAATACCTTGGGAACTGTGTATGGCCTTGGATTAGATTAGAGAATGGCAGTATGCCATTTATCTAAATGCCTCTAGAGGGCAGCACAGTCATTTTTGGCACTTCCTCACACTGAAACTTTGGACAAACACATCCATTGTCACTCAACAACCTCCTGTCTTTAAGCACATCCATAAAAATATTAGTCTGTGTTAACCGCTAAGCATTATGCTAAAGAGCCATTTGAGAGGGAACCCATGAAAGTCATTATCTTTGGCAGTAGGGAGGCCTAAAACAGCAGCTGTGAAGAGCCTAATGTAATTGGAGACTTCACACCATGAGTGGGCAAGGAAAGAGATAGGGGCCTAATCAAGGCATTAACTAAAGGATTCTGTGACGGTAACCAAAGACAGGGAGGACGCATCTGATGTCCTCTAAAGGTCAGGCTGCCAGAGATGAAGCTGCTTTTCCTGCAAAGCGACTTAATTGATCACTTTACCCAGAGCCCTTAAGATCTTCAGTGGGAAACTCTCACTTCACACCTAAATATGGCCACTGTCGGGACAAACCACCACCCCAGGTGGTAAATCACAACTAATGTGACATCTAACTAATGAATCATAACTTATATGATGATCTGCAACAAAATAATTTTTTTTACCTGTTTTACCTTGGATATCTGGTCTACTAGAAATCTTAAAACCAACATTAAATCAAAATGGACTAACAAAAATATAAATTAATAAATAAATGTAATTAATTACAATTAATTACAATTAATTGTATATGTTTTTAATTGAACATCCAGTTTCACTCATAAATATGGTAGTAAATGGCTTTATATTCACTTTAAATAGATGTCTAAAATAAGCTGTAGTTACAGGGAAGAATTCTATTTAAGTCCAGTACGTGACTCCCGTGTTTAACATGAGTTACTATATAAGTTAATAGTATAAATTAAAATAGATTATGTGTCCATCTAAATGATTCCAGTATTTTCCACCCACCCTAGCAGCTCGAAGGAGATGCACAGGTGGTTGCGGAAGTAGAAGTACTCCTTCATGTGAATGACATTGTGGCAATTATCTCTGTCTCTTCTCCGCACGGCATCTAGGATCTTCAGCTCTACAAGAGCCTGATGATGGAACCTGAAGGTCACAAGAAAAATAACTTAATGAAGTTAATATATATTAACTTTATCGATATGCAGATTAGTACTATTTTTCCAAACGAGACAGTATTTCTACAATGATATACTGCATATGGTTTCGAAAAAGTAGTTTGAATGGATTACTACAGTTTTATATTACTTTAGTCTATGGCCAACATTTTAGAAGCTAAGGCTACATTAATCCAGATACATTTGAAAGCAGCGTTTTCGTTTCAAATCGCTCTCCGTCCACACTAGCGTTTTCAAGAGCATGTTTCCAAACATTTCTCATCCATACTGAAATGTAAAAAAACCGCTAAATTCACCTTACTGTGTATCCGTAAAGCCACATAAAAGCTCACTGAGATGATACAGTTCTCACACTATTCTTCTGGCTAGATAATTTTTTTAGCAAAATATCTCACCATTCATTGATGCGTCCAGGTCGCACTGAAGCACCATTATATGTGTGGTCTAAAATACAACTGTCTTCATGTTTTGCCGCGGGACAGCAATTGTAGAGTACATTTCTATAACACTGTGTAAGTGAATAGCAGGCACAATACTGGTCTAAACATACAATATGTGGCACATGGTTAAACATGCATAATTTCCACACTACAATGTGAAAACTGCACACATGGGAGAGCGTCTTCAAAAAGCTCAGTTTTCGCAGGACAAAAACAATGTCTCAGAGTGGACAGAAAGCCAAAATGCAGAGAAAAAGATGCATTTGCATATGTATTTGGATTACTGTAGACATAGCCTAAAATGTGTGGCCTTTCTAGCTAATTTTGTATGCAAATATTGTATGTATATATATATATATATATATATATATATATATATACTGTACATATATATATATATACAAATGACAAATAAAACCTGAGAGACTCTTGAAAGCAAATTCTGAGCAGCATTACAGTATTCAGCACCGAGCTCTGCATTTTGAGAGGGTTTAAAGTTAAAGCATCGGTCAAAGCAGGTGTGAAGGCAGTTGAAGGGCATGAGATCAGTTCTGCCCAGACACGTAATGCGATACAAAACAGATACCTTTTAACACCCTTCAGTGTATCAAGTCCAGTGTAAGCTAGTACCCAGTTAAGCGCTGATTAAAGACCTTTTGATGGCCTTATTAAAAGAAGAGTGTGAAAAGGCTTATTTTACTAAGGCAGGGGTCTTCAATATTGTGCATATTTTCATTGCTATTTCTAATTTTAATGGGGACAGTAAAACATTTGGCTAAAGTTTTGCCTCTTAAGTTGAACTTTATTAATACCCTAATATTATTTTTATTAAAGAAATTTAATTATTTTTTAATTAACATCAACAAATCAAACAATAATTGACAGACACCCTTGGCAGTACCACCACAGACCTCCTAGGGGCCACTGACCCTGATTGTACCATAGATTGCATGGGAATGAGAATGAAGGCATGGACGGGAGGTTCATTTTACCTCTTCTTATTCCGAATGATCTTGATGGCCACCATCTCATTTGTCTTGTGATCCAAACATTTCAAGACTTGGCCAAATGATCCTTTCCCAATCACCTCAAGGACTTCATAGCGATAGCCTATATGGTCATGCAGGACCTGCACAGAGTATTTAGAGGACAGAGTCAGCTGACAAACAGGTCAGCATAATTATTTCCGTCTCCTTTGCAGTGGCAGACTTCCTGTTACTTGGAGAAACATCTCAATGGTAATATTGAGATGCATAAATGTTTCTCATTTGTTTATATCTTGACTAACACTGAGGCACATATCTGGACTGTCCAACATGTGACACAGTTTACATGTTTTGACTGCAAATGCCAGCTGTATGACTGTTTAAATCATGCAGGCATGCAGTCTAATGCCCAGTAATCCTGAGGAATGTGTTTCTGAAAAGGCACATTCATGGAAGATGGGGTGGGACAGCAGACATGAGAGTCTGGCAGCCTGTAGCTGAATTAGCCAGCCTCGTGCTGTAATGCAATTTCATCATTTATCAAGAAGTTGAAAATGAGGTCAGTATGTCACCCAGTAAGCTGTTTGCCAGAAGCCATAAAATAAATGTTAACTGAAATAAAAGGAAATCTAAAAACAACCCTGAACCTATTTTATTTCAGCTACTGTAGCTGCCAAAGCGACATTTCTCATTTTCATTTAGTTCAAGATAACTAACATCCTAAAATGACGAAAAGTAAAACCAGAAGATAAATAAAATGTATACAAAATAATCGACATATTTAAAAAAAACACATACACAACAAAATTACTTTAACTTTAAAATTTAAATGGAAAATATGAAAATAAAAACTAATTAAAAATATTAATTAAAACTATAATAGAATCTCACTGATACTAAAATAACACAGACAGGCAAAAGTAATATAATCACAGAAAGATATATAAGATGTCATATTTAACCTTTAAGTAGCTGCCATGCTCATCGTCATAGCCTGAATTCTGTGGGGATCCCTGGGAGCCCTCAATCTTCTTAGTGTCCAAACCCAGATACCAGATCTCAGAGTAGTCCATGATCTCCTCCTTCTCAAATTCTGTTAGCTGGTTCTGGAAGCGCTTCAGTGCCGCTGTTTGGAAGATGAAGGAAGATGTGCATAAATAATGAACATACCTATATATAATCCAATTAACCAGAGAGATACCAGAGTATTAGGGCAGTCTAATTCTATTTTCAGTTATTATTGCACTGATTTTTTTTTTATATATATATTGATTAATTTTTAAAATACATGAAACAAACAAAAATCTAGAGCACTTCATACTTGTTGGAGACATAGGCAGCCTCTGTCCCTCATATGTCCTGATCTTCTCAAACTTATTGATGATGCTCCTAGTTAAGGATTCTGAGAGGTTTTCCACAGATGAACCAAAGCGATTGGGAAACTGCGGCCTCGGCCTCTCCTCCTGTGTTGCAAGAAATGGAAGTCAGACTGAAAAAATGGCTTTATGTAGCCATTACATTAATTGTAACATAAATCCAAACCCATATACTACTGTTTTTTTTTCTGTAAAACTCCCAGACAAAAATTTACAAAAATGGTCCATACGGCTTAGGCACTATATTCCAAGTGTTTTAAAGCTAACCATAGCTTTGTGAGAAACATACTTCATGTATGACTATTTTGAGATATTTCTGATGGGTCGCCATGATTTTGCCAAGTAAGACATGTTCCTGGATCAACATCACTGTCCAAAATACAGATTTAACCCAATCCCTACCCCTAAACCTAACCCATAATTTATTCCTAAAATCAGAGGGAAATGATAGCTGATTAACAAGGGTGTAGAAGCACCTAATCCTGATTGTAAACCTAAAACTGACATTTCCTGAAACGTTATCCCTCAATTCTGATTGGTTGATTGGAATAATGTTCCAGGATCAACAAGGATGTTGATCCAGGAACATGTTGTACTTGGTCAAATCACGCTCACCATTTCTGATGGGTAATTTGTGATTTTTGGAGATTCACAGATATGATTACTGTTAACAGTTGTTATATGGAAAAAATCGGCATAAAAAAATCCTGTTTTGTGTTCTAGAGAAGTCATAGAGGACTGTAGACATGAGAGTGAGTGATGATAACTGGATTTTCATTTTCTGAGTGTTATCCCACCTGATTCCCTTGAGTGCTTTGCACCAACTGTTTGACGATACTGGGTAAGGTTCCATTCGAATGCAGAAGTTTGCCATTGGTCACCAAAATTTGCTTGACCGGAGCCTCTAGCTGGGGCAAAGTACCAACCCCCGTCCCACACTTCTAAAAAACAAAAGATACAATACTCTCAAGTACTGTTCAACATGAAAAACTCTACAAATCAGTAACAAGGACCAAACGGGGGGAAAGATATGTGAGATTCACACAAGGCTAGTGGCCAACGGCCCCAGTGAACTGGACCCCCTGCTTAGAGGATGGAATTTCAGCGGCGGTTGAGACCGAGGTGGGGACAAAAGCAGTGATACAGCAGTCTATCACAACCCCATCAGAGGAACGAATATACACTCTAAATCTTACATTTGGGGTGTAATAAGAGCGAATGATACAGATTTTCTCTACACAGTTCCTTTTTGTCAATATATTCTTATAGAAGGAGATGAAAGGTTCCCTCGCTATGAAACAAATGTGGGGCACTGCACAAGGGAGGGGCTCGTTCATAGCTTGCAGGTTTTCCCCCAACTCACGGTTCAAATCCAGTGCTCGACAAACTTCTGGGCTGAAAAAAAGAGCAAGTGTGTCTATAGATAGATGCGATATTCAATCTCATATGTTCTGGGGATACTGCGGCATCTGCCAACTTGATCATGACGCATAGAAACAGAAGCTAAATATAGCATAGGGGCACCTGCAGAGACCTACAAGAATACAGTAGACTGCGCAAACAACGTGCACCGTTCAGGTACCACAGCTGTGCGTTGAAACCACAAACGAATCAACAGATTTCCACATTCAGAGGCACAATGCCAAGCACTTTATTATGAGCAGCTGTTATCACCTGTGAAGAGATTGCTTTTAGTTAATGACAACTGTTAGGGGGTCATTTCACACTCAACATTAAAGATTTAACACGAGGCTTTCCATAGGTGCTTGGAGGGATCATCTATTGTCATCTATATATAGCGGCAAACAAAGGAAGGACCTATTCACACATCAGCTGAATAAAGGTTTGTATATTTAAGCCAAAAAATGTTGAGCAATAGTGTTGGGAAGTCCAATTAATTTAGCGAATCATTTTGTTTAGATTGTTTCTGATTTACTGAATCATTTGAGTCTCTACACAAAGTAACTGCTCCCAGAAGTTTTTGTGCAACATATCTCGTTAATACTGCTGTTTATTAGTGTCACAGAAATTACAGATGCTTCACCTTTAAAGGTGACATATCATGAAAAACTGACTTTTCCAGGTTTTAAGTGCTATAATCAGGTCCCCAGTGCATCTACCAACCAAGGAAATGTGAAAAAGATTAGCCTAGTAACTTTGTTTTGGGAAGCCTTTTTCTGAAAGCGTCTGTGAAAATGAGCATGTCTGATTTCGCTCCCTTGGTGAAGTGGCAAAGGGATCTCATTATAATATTACCACCCCTTAGTCTGTAAGTTTACACCCATGGCGCCGTCATTTGATTTTGCAAGCGACAACGGTGTACCAGTTCTAATGCCATGGCGAAAGTTTGAGCAGAGCATGCTAACTATTCTGTCTTTAACAGCACAGATGAGCACAGAACACTATTTACAGTCCCAGCCTCAGAGGAGACAAGCAGTGGATTTATTGATTTATTTAATGTATATTGCTGCTGCCACACAGATCTAAAATAAACATGTGATTTATTTCCCAGCTGTTAACCTTCACAGACATAACCGACTGTTTTTTATAACTCGTGTGTTTTTAACATAAACCTGTGTGTGAATGAGAACTTAGTTTAGTACTCACATGCTGTGTGGTGTCCGCTCTCTATCCATGTGCTTCGGGTGTGTGCTCTCAGAAAACCTTATATCATAAGGAGTTTTTTGGGCAGTTTAGAGTAGCACTTGTTGTTTGTCATTTCTCCGATCACAAATGCAGACATGGTTTTATTTTTTTTATAGACAGATAAAAAAGTTTTTCTGCCAGACAGAGTCAGCCTTAAAGTAAAATGATTCACAAAGCCTTCACGAATCAATACAAATTAATCATCACTGTTAAGTAACCGCTTATGATTTTCTCTATGAATATAGTCTCACCTGTGAGTAGGTGCAGTTGGGTCCTATTTTTGTGTTCTCGGCCTGAGACCTGTGGGGGTGAGGGAAAGCCTCGGGTCTGGCTGACTGTGAAAGAGAGCGGAGGAAAGACGTCATGAGCGTGACGAGTGGGCGCACTCTCGCAACCCACATCCACAGTAATACGTGTGGGATGCTGGCTATATAACTCCAGAATTCATCTCCGCTCTCTCTGTGTTATTCAACACAGTGGATGACTCATGTTCAATACACCAAGCTAGCATGTTTTTAATTCAAAAGCACATTAATAGCATTTCAATGATGCCCACATGATGCAGTTTGACCACATTGGCAGGTCGTGATTTGCAGACTGGTACTTCACAGCAATCAACTACTAACTAATGTTCCTCTTGAGCACGAATGCTGAGCAACCAAGGATATCAGGAGACCTGCGAAGACTACAGTCAGTCATGATTGCAGACACATGAGGAAACAGGCCTACATCCATCTTAATCAGGTGGAGCGTGCGTCAATAGTGTTGACAGACAGCATAAGGACGGATGAAAAGCTCCAGCTAAACTTAGAGCCTCTCGGGTGCAGGGGGAGGGGGGTGAGATACAAAGAGAGAATATTGGTGGGCTGGTAGCCGAAGTCAGACAGAATGGCCAAGTAACATACAGACAATGGGATGATCTCGCGTGTATATACAGACTTATGTGGCTCTCATACCCTTAATCCAAAGGGTGATTATTTGCAGAGTCTAAAACATGGCGGTTTTTGGCCAAGCAGCGGGGGGTTTAGCCATCCTGATGTGTTGGGACTTAACTGCATTCATTCACATGCAGCGAAGTACATACTGGCTTATGAGGGATCAGAGAGTACATAGACTCCAATGTGGCAGCAACAAAGAGATGCATTTAGAAAACAAGCAGTAAAAATTTGTTACACTTAGACTGTGCCGTCAGCTGTGCTATGTGAGCCCCGGGCTTTAAAACACTCATTCAAATATTAACACCAACATGTTCAGGACCAAGGGCTTTGTGTTACAAATGTGGGTCAGTGCGCAATGCAAGGGTGAGATAGATACTTATCGGTCAGCTTCATTTGCCAATAAAATGCTTGAAAAATCATATTCATTCCTTGGGTGATTTGACATTTTTTCTGATTAGAGATGCACGATTGGTACCACACCGTTAAAAACTTATTTTTTTTAAAGTTGTAAATAAAACAAAAATTATTGGAGAACAAGAAAACACTATTTCATATTTTCTACATCAAAATGTCATGTTTAATTAAGTATTACTTGCTGTTTCTTTAACTCAAAAATCCCTTTTACGGAACACAGTTTGAATTATTCTAGCTATACAAAACACTTCAAGCCTTCATAAATGGCAAATATAGAAGGTAGCAAGTTGACACTTTTTTTCACACCTATTCCCTATAGACTAGCTCGGCTCACATGTAACAAGCAGAGGCGGAAGCTGCACTGTATCTGATACAACATAACTCAGTATGTCGGCTTATTATCGAACCACCGTTCTCAAATGTCAGACTCAGGCAGCCTGTGTCTATACTAATTTAGGCCTAAAAAATAGTGATCGTAGTTCTGAAATTCAGTGATAGGATGGGGAAAAAGAGATGTGCATTTAGTTTTGAACCTGTAAAATTTAAACAAGCATGCATAGCATAACAAAACCACAGTGCATGGCATTTGGATTGGATTTGTACATATTGTACATAGTGTGTGCGCATATGAATACCAAGAGTATTTTTGAAATTGGTCTACTTAAGTGAAAAATGAAAAATCTAAATGCACTGAATATGGATTAATGTTCAAAGACTAAGTTCATTCTGTCATTATTTATTCAATCTCATGTCTTTCCAAACACACATTCTGTTGTTTTTTCATAGTAAAGGTAGAATTTTGATGGAGAATTTTCAAATCGATCCACACAACAACAGTTCATCCCCTGCAGAATATAAAAACACTATAAAAGCAGTCCATAGAAAACAGAATGTGTTCGGAAAGACATGAGGTCGAGTAAATAATGAAGGTAGTGAAGCTATTTCTACTGTAACTATTGAGAGAGCAAACTAGACTATTTTCAAAAGACAGAGATAGATCAGTAGAGAGGCAAAGGTGTGAGAAAGAGGAACAAACACTCTCACTATGGTGGGAGGAGTGGAAAGAGGCCTATTATGATTAGTGATTAGATTATGATTAGTGTTTATGTTAGATAACACAGAGGCACTATAGTAATCATGGTGAGCTATGGGGATGAACTGTTCCTGATGGATTGCTCATTCAGCACAATGGAGCTCAGAGAGGGCACATGCATGACACCTCTTTCCCAGCCCAATCCTCATCAGCCTGCCAGCATCTTTGGTCCATCCCATTCAAGGCTCCTTTATTAAGAAAATAACAGCTCCGCATGACTGAAACCAGTCATGGAAACGTGTGAGGTAAATACTAATACTCAACGTTCAATGCTGTGGATACTGCTTATTTGGATTCTATAATCAGCCATTTGAAGTACCATTTACTCACTTTGGTAAATTATTTCATTAGAAGTAAGTATTTAATTAATGACTATGACTATGAAGGCCTTATACAGCACAGAAAATGCTAGAGAGACCTGATCAGTTTTTTTAACAAGGCTGAGTCAGGAATCCTTTGATCATCTCAACACTTTGATCCGAAATGTTTGTCTTTGAGAGATTCACCCAAAAATTAAAACTCTGTCACCATCCACTCCCCTTAATGTTGAAGAAATGTAGCCTTTTTTCGTGGAACATAAAAGTAATTAGAAATAGTCTAGAAGTAGCAGACTTTCCAGACTGCTCCGTATGAAAGTGTATGATGACTGCTGCAGTCAAGCTCCAAAAAGGACAAAACAGTAGTATGAAAGTAGCCCATATGACTCGTAAACCAGTCTTCCAAATACATATGATAACTTACTGAGAAACAAACTGAAAGTTATTATAGTACTTTTCCGGAGCTTGACACACTCAGAAATGTGGAAAAATGTGTGTGTTTATGGGATATCATTGAACCATAATTTTTTACCCCTAGAAGGTTCACAGTAGTACCTATGTACAAGGTAATATTATTACTCTAAGGTACTAAAATGCAACTTTTAGGGTTGCCTTTAAGGGTACTATTCTTTCAAGGGTACTGCCCCAGTGACAAGCTGTTGTACCCCTAAGGGTTCAGTTTTTGCACACTTTTTCTCAAAGTGCAGCCACTTGTCACCAGCCACTGTATGTAAAATAGCAAGATGGACATTTTGCTAGGTAATACCTTTTATGCACTGTGAAGAATAGCATTAATGTGTCCTGAGAGCATTTTGGATGAACTACTCGTTTAAGCAACAAGTAATTAGACCTAGACAGTTCTTCACAACAGGCAGTAAGGCAATTATAGAGGTTTCCAAAATCTATGTAATCCTTGTCTCACTTGTAAACTAAAGACAAGTGATCACTTTGCATTTAAAATATCACATTTGCATTCTCAGTCATATTAAGATCAATCAGAACACAGAAGTAAATAGACAAAATGCAGAATGTGAACAAAACATTTTCAAAAACATCAACTTTTACAAATACACTAAACAAGCTGAATTGCAATCTAGCTGATCTAGAGTTGCAGGTACACTTATACATGATTCATTAGCACTACTACAGGGGGTGAACATTTTAGGAGACGGCACATTCTGTCGGCAGAACTCCATTTATCTTTACCTCGGGTTGAACTCTCCTGTTCCTCTGACTCTGTCGGGTGCCCCAGCAGTTCTGGAGGATCTCAAAGCCACAGCAAGGTGGTGTGGTCCCTTCTCCACCCATGGCAGGGTCTCCCCATGCTGTGGTAACCATAGGCCTCAGTCCCCCTACATCATGTCCACTTGCCGGGAAGGAGCCCTGAAGTTAACCACGCCAACTTCTTTGGTCTTTGATGATCTAGAGCTCCATGGTTCAGAATGAACAACCTGAAGGGATCCCCTTCTTTCAGACTTCTTCAGACATGTGCTTGTGCAAAGGATGCCCAATCTCTGGATCTAGGATCGAAGAGGATGTAGTCGCACTTCACCTCTCTGCACTGTATCTAAGAGTCCGTTTCACATGCCATCTCCACATCTCTGCTCAAGGAGATGTGTGCTGCAGGCAGGGATAAATCGGTGGTAACGTGGGGTGCTCGGGGAGAGCTTGGTGACGTGTGGACGAGACTCCACAAGGGAGCCATCCTGAGCCGGAGACTGAGCAGTGGGGGCTCTCAGTGCCATCTTCCTCTTCCTCTATGGGAAGCATCAGGGGAGTGATCCCTGACAGTGGAGCTCCACTCAGGGGCAGCAGAAGCTGCTTCTGTTGGGACTTCTGCTGGTAACTCTTTCCTACCAGAGGTCGTCTCCTGGAGACAGAGCCGGAGATATATCCTCCCCTCCGCTGTTCACATTCCCCCAGGGCGCTGACAAACAGCAGTGAAGTGCAGAGAGGAAATCTTATCTCCCAGTATGCACACATAGGCTTTGGTTTCTCCTGCTACAGCACAAAGAGAGTGGGAAAACTAGCCCTGCCCTTCATAGTGATACCTCCGCCAGTTTCCTCCACAGAGGATAATATTTCTGACTGTTTCATTCATGGGGGCTTGAGGTCTAATGTGTATACCCACATCTCTCAGTGCCACTTGGGAGAGAACAAATTGGATCTTGTGCACCTGCCATCAGCTGAGAATTGAAATGTGTTTACCAACTTTGTGTTTACATTGTAACTGACATTTGGAAGACCTTAGACATATAATTTAAATTGTGTCACTCAATGGTTATGTAACAGATGTGTTAACATAATCACATGGCCACTGGGGTTTTCAACGTGAGGTGGACGTGTTACAATCTACTGTGACATTACAGGCCTTCTGAAATAAAAAAGTTTTAAAATAGAACAGCTTGGAACTGTCGTACACCTCTTTTATCAAATTTCTTCAGAGGTAACACAGAGTCATTTGGATTGGGATCAGTTCTTGTAAAATATTTTAAACCAATACACCATTTGCCACCGTCCTGCATAGGTTAGCTCCAACACACCTGCTTTAAAGTTAAAGTTATCCTGAAGACTTTGATTAGCTGGTTCAGGTGTGTTTAAATATGTCTGGAACTAAACTCTGCTGGAAGGGGGCACTCCAGGACCAGGAGCAGGATTGGACACCCCATATACACATCAATATTAAATTTATGTCAGGACCACTATCGTCAAAATGATAGATACTTAGCATAAAGTTTGGTTTGGCGGTATGGTTCTGTTCTGGGCAAAAAACCTCCCTGCCCATCCATGCAGCCTGTCATGAATGAGCAGGGAGAGCAGCAATAATAACCCCCCCCAGGGTTAACAGAACAGAACAAGGCAGATATCATTAATGTACTCAATGATATTTAAGTGTAACACTTTATTCAAGATAAAGGAGTCTGATTAGCAAGGAATATCAGAAAGCTAAGTCCTGACTGTGGCAAAAGGTGGAGCTGGGGATGGAGGAGGGTAATTTGCTCCGAAGCAAGCTGAAAAGCTGCTGAATAATACTGAATACAGCTTATATAGGAATGCCGCGATAGGTGTCGTATTCCTATAGGTAGATGTGATCAGCTGAGAATCAGCTGATGCAAGCTTGACTCACGTGACCTGCCAGAACTAACGCTAAAGCTTAATTTATGTCAGGGGTTGCCAATCTCAGTCCTGGAGGCCAACCTTCCTGCAGAATTTAGCTCTAACTTGGTTCAACACACCTGCCTGGGAGTTTTGAGTAATCCTTTTGACCTTGATTAGTTGGCTCAAGTGTGTTTAATTAAAGTTGGAGCTAAACTCTGCAGGGAGGTGGCCCGCAGGACTGCACACTCCTAGTTGTGAATACTCTGAGAAGCTTTGCTTTTGTTGCCAGGGATTTCATTTTGGCTTTGACCTAGACTTTAAATGTGCTTAATCTTTGAGCACAGATACCCCATGGACTGTCTAGGGCAAGGATTGTTCCAAAATGACCTTTTTTCTTTTTTTAGCAGTGTCGGGGATCTTCTTTTAAACTGTAACTACAAGCTTCACATAATTTTTTAATACTTAATTTACAAGTGACTAACATTGAAACTATTAAAATATGGCACACGTCACTATATGAATTCTATACTATAATCACACTAATAACAATTTTAAGTACACAAACTTTGATGTATAGACAAGCATTTCGAGACAAACATAACCAACTGTAATGATTACTTGACAATTAGTTTGAGTCAGTTTCGTTGTTTCAGTAACTGCTTTCACTGGTTCATCAGGGAGGTTATTCAGTAAAACATTCAACAGTCTAATTCAAACCGCTGACCACTGAAGGATTTGTTAAAAGAACAAGTTCAAAAGAGTAATTTGCTCTTGAATTGTACTACACTGGTTAAACGACATCTTTGTTTTGCAGGCATACATCACTGACAAAAACTCAAGACTTGTTTTCTTGTTATTTCAGTCTTATATATATATATATATATATATATATATATATATATGATTAACACAATTAATGAAATTATTTTTTGAAGTCAGTGCTGCATTGTGGGTAGTTCTAGAACTATCTGTTTACTAAGCACTGTCTGTGGCATTAGACCATTGGCGGCCAAAGGAGTTTTCTGTCACACAGGTAAACTGAGAATTGTTATGTCACTGTCACTGTCACTGTCACTGTGCATCCTTAACACAACCATCCAGTACAGACAGAAAAACACATGACAACATCAGTCAGAGGGCAAGGTGATCTTCCTTTGTAACAGACACAACACAGAATCTACTGAAACAATCTGTGCCTGACAATATATTGAATGCATTGTATATAGTCCAGTTGGTTCTTTCGAACCATTTGCTTCAAAGAAGTAGCTATCAGAGACAGATCGAGTCATTCTTTGTTTCAAACGAATCATTCTAATATTTGACAAAAAAAAAGGCTCTTTAACTAATCCAACGTTGCCATAAATTAGTCAAATTTTATGAATTTCGCAAAAAAAATTGAGGTTTTGTTTAGCACCAAATTACCTTAATCTGGTGCTGTTGGGAACCATTTTTAAGAGATCTATGTGAATCAAATAAAATCCCTTTCAAAACCACAGTTAATCATCACCATTTAGTTGATGACATAACCACTGTAATCCAACGTATCACTATTTAAAGGGGTCATATGATGCGATTTCATGTTTTCCTTTCTCTTTGGAGTGTTACAAGCTGATTGTGCATAGATAAGATCCCTGAAGTTGCAAAGACTAAAGTCTCAAATCCAAAGAGATATTCTTTATCAAAGTTAAGACTCTGCCACGCCCCCCTAAAACGGCTCGTTCTAACACGCCCCCACATATCTACCTCACTATGTGGAAATGTTAGCATAATGCGGCCCAAATGTGCATGCAAAGAAAGAAGGCGTGGTTTCAGTAACCGCAGTTAGTGTTGAAGCAGCCATGTCAGGGAGATGCTGTGTGTTTCTAGGCAAAAGCAAAAATCACTTTATTTGGCCTTCCGAAAGTAGATGCATGTAGGAATCTTTAAGATTACTTGCAACAGAACAGCAATGCATTTTATGGACGACCGTTTCGTGAACCTAGGAGAGGAGGTAATTCTGACTTTGCTATGACAATCTGGCGCTTCTGAATCAGCTACTGTTTTGTTATTAGTTTAAGTATTTGCTATTGACTGTTCAAATGCGGAGTTTTGCGCATCGTGTGTGCGTGCGTGCGTGTGTGTGAGATAGAGAGAGAGCGAGAGAGACCAGCTTCATCACTGTGCTTCAGACTGCGCTTGTCAGAAGGAGGGACTTTGTAGAAAACTAAGCGTTTGAGAGAGGCGGGGCATAGAGGACCTACAATAATGTAAAGTATTTGAAAAAAATTTGTTTTTTGAACATTAAAGCATGTCAACATATTCTGTTACACCAAATACACAAAATAATGATCTTTAAAAAAGCATCACATGACCCCTTTAAGCACAGCATCTCATCAAATTAAGGGACTCATGCTTTTCAGGTTTGCGATATCCAGCGGTACATCACATGGAAATGCACACCTCTGGGAAAGATGCACCTCTACGTTGGCTTATCATAGTGACACATGTCAAGACTTAATAAACACGCGATTAATCGTCACCAGTGTAGTAGAACAGTCGATCCCATTATATCATAATCACCATCATATGATGATGTAACTCCAATATTTGTTTATAAACAAACACCTCTGATAATGTGATGGATTAGGTAAGTGCTTTATGGGTTTGCATCAGAGTTGTGGTATCTGCCAAAGCTCCAGGATACTGGACTGGTAAAAAAGTCACTGAGAAAGGGCTGTGCTAAGAAAAAAAAAAAAGGGTAGGCTATGGGTACCAATCAAATACCTTTTTGTTACTATGGCTGCATTTATTTGATCAGAAATACAGTAATATTGTGAAATATTAGTTACATTTAAAATAACTGTTTTCTGTTTTAGTGTTATTTTTTTATGGGATTTATTCCTGTGACGCAAAGCTGAATTTCAGCAGCCATAAATACAGTCTTCAGTGTCACATGATCCTTCAGAAATCAGTCTTATATGCTTATATTTCTAATTAATTTCTTATTAAACATTTCTTCATCAATGTTGAAAACAGTTGTGCAGCTTAACGTTAATCTTTTTTTATTATTAATTATTAAATTATTATATACTATTATTATAGATTTTATTAGTCATCAAAAACACAATTGGAAATATAGGAATTATGTAGTGACAGAGAATGTTAAACAAATCAGAATTATCTTACGTTTAAGCTTCTTCATGAGAAACATGTCCAAAATGTCCAAACTTTTGACTCCTACTATAAATGTATATGAAATAGTTAAATTTGTCTTTACAGACAGGCTGTTGAGATGGACAAAGTCATGCAGGAGCTGGGAAAGACCTTGTGTGACCAGGATGTGAATACTGTTGCTGCCCAACACTTTGATGCCCAGCAAGTAAGACCAATCTGACAGTCAGATTGAAACTAACATTCAGAATGACTCCTGACTCTTCTTTTTGGACTTTTTGTGATGGGAAGGTGCTGGAGAACAAGTGGGCCAGTGAACTGAAACAAGTCACAGGTATCCAGAAACAAGAGTATCAGGAGTGGGTGATGAAGCTCCACCGGGACCTACAGAACCCCAACAACAGTACAATAAAGTGAGTGAAAGAGAAAGCTTTAAAGATACTGATGGAATTGAGTTGATCAATGATTGTTCTGGGAAGTGAATAGTAGTGGGATTCGGACACAGAGGAGCAGAAAGTAAGATATTCATGTTATCACTCAAGAAATCCTGCTTAGAGATTTCATTCAGTTTCATTCAAATGTGAATGTTCTTGCCACCACATTAGATGCAGTTTCAGTTCTGATTACATTTTACGACATCCCTGCTTTGACACATTGACACAGAGCACATGAGTGAATAGTGTTTCACTTGAGCCAACAGCAAAACAACTGTATTTATCATCGTGATTGATGGACGCCGAAGAACTTTAGAAGTTGAGCCTGTTATTTGTGTTTCAGCGAGGAGATCAAGGTGCAGCCGGGTCAGCTGGGGGATGCAGGGGAAGCGGGGGCCCGGCTCTTCGAGGAGCAGCGACAGCTGGAGGAAAGCTTCACCATCCACTTAGGTATGGTGTTTCCTTGGAAACATTGGCTGCTACAAAACGGTGCATAAAAATACCCGCATACAATCAACTGCCACGGTAATTTGCGCCCACTTCCAATGTGTTTTCAATCTGTCTCTCAAGCTCTGTCCACATGTAGTGGACATGTTCCACAAATGTTTGACAACCAGAAATTGTCCAAATGCATTTTATCTCTCTTTTTTTTTTACAGCAATGTTTGATTATATAGTACAATGATATTCATACATTTTTAGTATTGGCTAAAGTGTCCAAATATTTTTGGGGCCACTCTTCATAAATTTGTTGAGGATGCACAGATTTTAAAATTCTGTGCAATAACATAATTAAAATAGAAAAATCTGTATTATTTAAGCTAAATAAATTTTTCAAAAGACACTAAAAACTTAAATCAGTCATTTTAAATGCATGCATTTAGGCATCACAATATTATAATGAACAGTATAGGAAATGGACAATAATTTTGAGATTTGCTAAAGATTGCACTTAAAAGTATTATTAAACTATCAGTGTAAATACATATTGACTTAAAGGTTTACTAAGTGCGTGTTAGATGACGACAAAGGTAATCTAAATGTAAAAATTAAGGAAATGCACAAATAAATATCCAATATCGACTAGTATACAGTACCCTTCAGAAGTCTGGGGTCAGTGCATTTTTCTTTTTAAATTAATACTTGTATTCAGCAAGGACACATTCAATTGATCCAAATTGGCATTAAAGACATTTATTTATATTTTTATTTCAAACAAATGCTGTTAGTTTCAGCTTTCTGCTCATCAAAGAAAACAATGTATTGTGGTTGATGTGGTAGAATGTCACATTAGAATGACTGCTGAAAATTCGTCTCTGTCATCACAGGAATAAATAGCATTTTAAATATATTCACATAGGAAACAGTTCAGTTAAACTATAATAATATTTTACGATACTGCTATTTTTATCAAATAAAAGGTAGCCTTGGTGTGCATGGGCATAAGAGGCCTCTATCAAAAACACAAAACAAACCTACTGTATTTAGGTAGTGTATATTGAATATGTAATTACATCAAACTATATATCATTTTTACATAAACAAAACATAATGGATACAAATAGATATAGTGGTTTGATATACTTTTAGGGGCTCAGCTGAAGACCATGCACAATCTACGTCTGGTGCGATCTGATGTTCTGGATTTTTGTAAGCACCATCGTCACAGCAGCAGCGGGGTGAAGTTACGGCGACTGCAGACCGCACTCTCTCTGTACTCCACATCGCTTTGTGGTCTGGTGCTGCTGGTCGACAACAGAGTCAACTCATACAGCGGCATCAAGAGAGGTATCATATCTAATTTGTAGCGTTTTGTTGCAATGATCAACAGAAGTCAGAATCTAAAGGATTTGGCAACTAACGTAAACAACAACATTTCCAATTGTTCCTATGACTTCAGACTTTGCAACAGTGTCTCAGGAGTGTACAGACTTCCACTTCCCCAGAGTGGATGAGCAGCTGGACATCATCCAGCAGGTGGTGCTGTATGCACGAGCTCAGCGCAGCAGCAAGCAGAGAGAGCAGCCCGGTGAGTGACACAACAACTGTGTGTGTTTGTGTCCGTCCAAAACCAGCACCTCTGCATTCCACCATCACATATCCGACTTCAGTCCTACCGTGAGGAAGAGTCCAGTTTCATATGACAGGGACTAGCTACAATGAAACGCGATACACATTTTTTTCAAGATACACAAATGTTTTGCCAGAAAATGGAATGTTCTCATACAGTTTTGCATTTTGCAAGTAACTTTGTATTACTTTGTATTATTTTTGTAATAATGGTTATATATCTAATGAACACTGCTACATAACTTTGATTGAAAGAGAACACATATTATCATAATATTATCTTTTAGAGTTTTTTTTAAGTAATTTATGGTGAAATGAACCATTGAGATTCAAATTTTATTGTGTGGTAATTATATATTTATATACTACATTAT